CGGCCTGGCAGCGAGCGGCCTTCCCGCAGCCTCGGGGAAAGGCGGCTGCTTCCCCACGCCAGGGCAAGGCAGTGACTTGCACTGCTTAAATCTATAGGGTTGATCCGGTTTATTCAATCCATCCTCTCCCTCCCTGCTCCTCTCCTGGGGCTTGCTGTCCACATTTTTGCTTAGCGGTTGCTTCTCTTGGTTAGCTTAAATGTATTGACGCAAGCTTAAACTGCGGTGCTTCCCCGGAACGAAGGGCAGACTTGCAGGATTAAGCCGATGTCACAGGGGCTTACAGGTCTTCTGCGTTTGTCCCAGCTCCAAAATCCGGAGAGGGCAAGTCAGGCTACGAAGGATGCCTTCTGTTTGCAGCCTGTCCATGCAGTCCTATTGGCAAAAGCACCGGGGCACATGTGAACACCAGAGTCTTATTGCAGCCCATCTTTAAAGGAAGAACCTCAGATTTTATGCAAACTTCTTTTCCTCCAAGATATATCGAGACTCCTGGCCTGTGTCCCAATTCTGCAAAGTCACCTCAATACCTGAAAACAGATGGTTTTGTTAACATCTCCCTTGTGAATCACTGAGCTTGTTCAACAACGAGGCCACCAAATGGCCCTTGGGGGCCCCAGTTCCCCGCTAAGCTCTCAATAGGGTCACAAAAAGAGACGGGCACCCAATGTAGAGGCCAGTAGCCCACAGAAGATCCCAGAGCAGCAATGCAAGGCACACGGACATGGTCTCCAAAAGCAGATTTCCAAGCGTCTTCCCAGGTGCGGAAAGGCAGAATGAATCTCACCACGGGTAGTCATGAAACAACCTGCCCAGAACAAAACACCTTGGCTTCACCATGCCAATGCAAGGCCTGGTCAGACATTAAACATGACGGGTTTGCTGATTAGATGCAAAGCGTGACAGCTGCCCCAGCACACACCAGTAGCTCTCACCTCAGGAGCAAAGGGCCCCTTTTGCCCCTGCTCTTTGTTTTCCGTCCCTTTCGTCACATCCCACCACACGATAACCTCTGGCCTCCGCCTTCACACTCCTGCAGTCCTTCCCCTCCCTATCAGTTTCTTGCTAAGTGCTTCATGGCTTCATACTCCTGACCTGCATCTTTGCCAGCTGCAAGACGTCCAGGGCTCAGGGCTTCGTCCTGGGGGATGCAAACAGCTTCTCTCCAGCATCCTCCGGGTTCACCAGCTCAGCCAGAATGGCCAAGCCCCATTCCCAGCCACAAAACAAGGGACCAGGTCACCACCCCATTCCAGGACAGAAGTCAACTCAGGCTATGGCAAGAGCAGGGACAGCACCCTGGGCCCCACACAGCCACAAGGTTTGAACATCGGGATCTGGCCCAAAGGCAGCATTAATGGATCATAGCAAACACCTGGAAGAGGAGCAGCCTTCCTCCAAGAGAGACTCACACCAATGTGGTCCCTCACCCAGGCTAGACTGCAAGTCTGGGCTTCAGATCAGTTTGGATATATTGCACTAGAGGCTGCAGGGACTCACATCTCTGCCCTCTCCTTTGCTGAGTGCTGGGCACTTTGGGGACCTGATTTCTGGCTGTTTCATTGTGCACATTCCACCAGCACAGGAGCTCCCAGCATCTGCCCCATCCCCAAGACCACACACACCTGGGATGCTCTTTCCCAGGTCATGGTCCCACTGTCAACAGCTAACAGTCCCTCTGGCCTTAACGTGGGGACACAGGGTGCTCACAGCCAGCCTGCGACCCCTCACACTTCACTGACGCAGAAACGCTGGCTCTGAACAGAGACGCTTAATTCTGTCTCTGGACGAAGTGTCTACCAGGTCAACCCATGCCAGGCAAAGGAAAATCAAAAATGCACAGAGTAGGGGGAAAAACACCTTAGGACCTACCTAAAATCAGGGCAGAGTCAAATTTAAGTGGATTGCAGCCAAAGTAGCTTGGCTGAGTGCCCCCAGCTCTGCTCCCCAGAACAAGCCTACACCAGATTAGCCTTCACCTTGCTCAAATCCCAGGACAAATTAGTCACCAAGGCTTGTGGTTTTACCAGTTGGCACAGCTGCGCCAAAGCGGTTGACATGGGGCAACTCAGCAGGTGTATAAAGGAGCCGTTCCCCATTGGCTGCCCTTAGCAGAGCTAAGGGCTTCTCACTGAGTAATTAATATAATGACAATAATAGACCTAAAGTAAACAAGGTGGAAAAAAAAAATCAATGGACTCGGAGCAGAGGCCACACTTGGGAGGGAGCAGTCCTGCTGCCTTCTGCCATCGCCCCAGTCCCGCGGAGCCGCACGCGTCCCGGCGGCCTTCGAGCCCTGGCCGCGACCGAGGCTGCGCTGGCGGCTGCTCCCGCTCCGCAGGAGGCAGCGCGGAGGTAAGTGCTGGGATTTGGCTGCTCCCGACTCCGGGGTTGAGGGTTGGGGCCAAGCAGGTGGCTGCTGCATGAGACCTTGTGCGGGCATCTGGGCACCTCCGGGCACGGCCTGGACGTGTTTCTGTATTCTGCCGATCTTGTGGTCTCTCCCTTCCAGGGCAGGGTGGTCAGGGGCCTCGTAGGGGGGTGGGCATTTGGTCCTGTCCTGCCAGGACAGGGGTTTTTTGGACCAGAAGGGAAAGA